TAAAAATGAACCGGTAGTGTGCCTAGTATTGCTAGACTCCGGCTCACAAAACAATTTTATCACCGAGTCAATGACCCATTATTTGAAATTGAAAAGAAAAAATGTAGCGTAGTCTGTTTTTGGAATAAACGAGTCACCGAATAATGTTAAACACCAAGTATCAGCGATTATTAAATCTCGCGTGTCAGATTTTAAGACAAACTTGAACTTTTTAACACTTTCCAAGCTGACCAGTCTCTTACCACAATCGGGTATTGATGTTAAGGAGTTAAAAATACCGTCAGATATTATTTTGGCCGATGTTGTAATAATAGTATTAACGTGAAAAAATTATGTTATCATCTTACTATTCATATTATTGTGTATTTAAAGAAAATATTGTAAACTTTGATCACCATTAAATTATATGTCAATAAAAATGTCTGGAAACACTAATGATGTTGATCCCTAATTGAATTTAAAGAAAAGTATAAAAGACGGGTTAACGTGGCATAAAAAACTCACTTATACTTAGAATCTCTGAATGTCAGTTAGTTCATCAACATCATCGGTGTGAAAAGACACATTTAAAAAAAGAAAAAAAAGAATACTTATTCAAAGGTAAGCAAAAATGCTGAACATAAAATTTTAATATAAATAATAAAGTAAATAAGTACTTTTGGTAAAACTGAATCTATATAGAGCAGATTTCGTTTGAGCTGTTATTTTACGGTTGGCGATTGCTCTGGATTTTTAGTAAATTAAAATTTACATATACATATGAATAGAAATATTCCTTTTTCTTTGGAATTATATTAGTAAAAAAAAAAGAGAAAACCCTTGGAACACTGATCCCGTTATAAAAAGTAACTCAAATTATAATAATAAGGAATTAAGCTTAAGACCATAAGAGTCTCAATTATTTCAATATCTGCTCAACCAACGCATCTATACATAATATTATATATTATATATTATTCTTGTTCTTTTAACTTAATTATTTTTATATTATTTCCTTTCGTCTCTTTTTTTGAGTTACAACACCGATCCGCTGTTCGGCACACCGCAAAGGATAGATATGCTGATTGGAGCTGAAATTTTCTTTGACTTAATGTATTCCGATCAAATAAAGACTGTTGAAAATGGTCCTGTTATACAAAAGACTGAGTTCGGTTGGATCGTTTCCGGTCCTATCTCAGCAAGCTTCACTACATCTATGCTCGCCACTACTGTATTACCACACCAACAAGATGTAGTTGAAAATGATATAAACGCCTGAATTAATTTAGATGACCAGATAGCGAAATTTTGGCAATTAGAAGAGGTCAAAACTAAAAACATTTTAAGTTTAGATGAAAAGGCGTGCCAGTTGCATTTTGAAAATAATACCAAACGGAATGAAAACGGACGATTTGTTGTATCATTGCCGTTCAAGGATCATTCCCTACTAGGTGAATCGTATCAAATAGCTTTAAAACGGTTTTTATCATTAGAACGGCGACTGCAGACTAATATTGAACTCAAAAATCTTTATTCTAAATTTATAAACGAATATCTAGAACTAAATCACATGGAAAGAATTTTGAGAGACGAAAGTACTAAAAACACATATTATATACCGCATCATGCAATTTATAAAGAGAGTANCAACACATATTATATACTACATCATGTAATTTATAAAGAGAGTAGCCATACAACTAAACTACGAGTGGTATTTGACGCTTCTTGTAAAACCGACAACGGGGTAAGTTTTAATGACGTTTTATTTAAGAGTCCGTGTATATAAGAAGAACTCACCGAAATAATGATTAGATTTCGAACGCATAAATATGTTTTTTGTTCGGACATTGAAAAAATGTATAGGCAAATCTGGGTCTCTGAGAATCAAAGAGATTTCCAACGCATTTTATGGCGTAAAAATCCTGAACAGCCTGTACAAGTATTTAAACTAAAAACAGCCACATACGGAGTTGTGACTTCCTCGTACTTAGCAACCGGACGTCTAAGAAAACTAGCCGAAGAAAAAGCTGATCATTATCCGGAAGCTTGTAGAGCGTTGCATGAAGATTTTTATATGGATGACCTCCTAAGTGGTTCAGATACTTTAGAAAAGGCGGTCAAGTTAAGAGATGATTTAATATCAATCACGGAGAGTGCTTATTTCAAGTTGAGACAATGGTGCAGCAATGAACCACTATTGTTAAGAGAATTACCTTTATATTTAAGGAAAGTTGATGATGATGCAAAAGAGCCTAATAAAAATATTACTAAAATCCTTGGATTATATTGGAATCACGAGAACGATTGCTATCAATACAATATAAAACCAATAAAAATATCGGGTTAATTTACAAAAAGACTAGTTCTATCCGAAATATCGTCGCTATTCGATCCACTTGGATTAATCGCTCCAGTAATAATTAGGTTCAAGATGATTATGCAACAGTTATGGTTGCAAAAAATAAACTGGGATGACGTTTTACCTATTCCATTACAACAAGATTGGTCAAAAATGCGTGTGGAACTGGAACAAATTAATAATATTAAAATCAATCGTCTAGTTCTCGGCATCGAAAAAATTAAAAAACTAGAATTACACGCGTTCGCTGACGCAAGTATGCAAGCCTATGGTGCTTGTATATACACACGCGCTACAGACATTTATGGTAAAGTAGTAATAAATTTATTGTGTGCAAAATCAAAAGTCAAAAATTAAAGGTAGTTTCGTTACCTCGGCTCGAACTGTTCGCTGCGCTTTTGGCCGCTCGCCTTATGTCAAAATATGCACCAAAATTACAGTTACCTATAAATGAATATTTTTATTGGATAGATTCGACACTGGTATTAAATTGATTATTATCTCCGTCGTCTCGTTGGAAAATTTTTGTGGGAAACACAGTAAGTGAAATACAAGAGTTAACGTCTGTTTCACAATGGAGGCATGTTGCGTCCAGCGACAATCCAGCGGACATAGTGTCAAGAGGCTGTTTTCCATCACAAATGAAAGGCTTAGATTTATGGTGGAACGGACCTAGTTGGTTGAAAGGGGAACATACTCAATGGCCAGGTAACTTTCAAGAACTTAATTCTAAAAGTGAATATTTGTCTGAAGAAAAAGTAATTACTAATTTATTCTTAACAATGCGCACAATGGACCAACAGGTCTGAGTGCATGGGCATTATGTCCACCTCAATAATAACTATTCTTAACAAAGGAAAATAATTCTTTTAATCAAATTTTTAAATTATTTTCTTCATTAAGTAAACTTTTACGTGTTGTGGCTTATTGTCTTCGTGTGAAGTCTAATTTTTTATCGAGTGACACTAATATTTATGGTCCTGTTGAAGCTACAGAAATTGAAATTGCCCTTAAACGCTTAGTGAAGGTAGCGCAACAACAAGAATTTTTTACTGAGTTGTGTGGCTTAAAAAACTCAAAATTAGTGTCTAGTAAAAGTAAACTTTTTCGTCTTAAACCATTTCTAGACAACGATGGTATAATCAGGGTAGGCGGTAGATTAAAACATGCCGTCTCACTATCATTTTTTCAAAAACATCCGATAGTGTTACCCGCTGATAGTGCTTTTACAAAATTATTATTTCTGGATGAACACGAAAAATCATTACACGCCAGTCCACAAGCGATGTTAGCTAATATACGTTTGAGATATTGGTAGAGATGTGAGTCGGTATTATACATGTGTATTATTCGGTATTATACAAGGTATGATACACGCGTATAAAATTATTTTATACCGGCTGTATAAAAAAAAAAAAAAAAAACGCTTTATCAACATTTATATTCTTTTGGATTTGATTTTAATTGATATACGCAATTGTAATTAATGATATAGATGGATTGCATTATTAGATTTAAATGTATCTATAATCGTCAATATTATTGTAGATTAATAGATATATTTTTAAAACATAATTAGTTGTCAGATCCGCCCAGGGAAACATGGTTATCATAACAAACAAAAGCAATTGACTTGTGTATGGTATAACCGTAGTCTCAGTATGTTTTTAGTATTACCACACAATAATCTTGTCACATTTTAAGCGCCAACGCATGTCGGTTCAAATGGAAGAAAATAAAAGCACAGAACAGGTGAATCTATTCTGTGGTAAAAGTATTTTGTTTTGTGATTTAAATTGTTTAAGTTTAAAGTATTATTTGCAAATTACGAACTAAGATGGGTCGTCCATCAAAGCAAAAACGAGAATGAAACAGATGAACTATTTGATAATGTCATGACATATACAAATTAAGATTATAAAATATTTCATACTTTATAAAAATTAATTCTTAGTACTCTGTGATACTAAAATTTATAATCGATAAGGTGCTTAAGTTATTTTTTTTAAGGTAACAAATGTTAATACAATTATCAATTTTAAGATTAATAGTAAGATGCCATATTTTAATTTTTTAATAGTTTATTTAAAGGATAGGATTTTTTTTTGTTAAGAAAAAGTGAGTTTTATTATTTTATTTATTATGTTATTAAAAATTTTAAGTTTTTAATGTGGTAAAATTTCAATTGTGTATTTATACTTGTTTAAAAAAGCAGACTTCTCAGACCTTTAACATCATGTGTGGTTTCTGGTTCCAAATTGACTATAGTTAGTACTTAGTTGATACTAAATCATCCTCTAGACAGGAATTCTGGATAGAGAAATATCTTAGTTCAATACTTTAACTAATTACTAAGAACATTTTGTTTTCACCAATTTTGCTAAAGGCTTTTTCAGTAAGTACTCATTTATTTATTGCGTTTTATGAAAAATAATCACTCTAAAGTTTATTTTTTCCCAAATTTTAAGGTGCCACAAGGATTTATACGGTATTATACAGTATTATACGTGTATTATACGATATTATACAACAAAAAAATAAAATACCGTATTTTAACAACTCTAGATATTGGCCGATTAATGGACGTAATATAGCCAGAAATATATTTAGAAAGTGTGTCCGATGTTTCAAGTACAAACCGGTTGTATTTGAGCCCATCATGGGTGACTTACCTAAGGACCGAGTCGAACCAGCGCGAGCCTTTGTTAAATGTGGCGTAGATTTTACTGGTCCAGTGTTTGTGCGGTCTAGTTTGCGAAGAAACGCGCCTAAGACTAAAGCGTATATCAGTATTTGGGTTTGTCTTGTCACAAAAGCTATTCATATAGAATTAATAGGCGATTTGACAGCGTAGTCTTTCCTTAATGCGTTACGGAGATTCTGTGATAGACGTGGTTATTGTACGGACGTGTATTCAGATAACGGATAAAACTTTGTTGCGGTTAATCGACAACTTCGAGAAGTGCATGAACTTTTAGCTAAACCAGAAATTAAAAATGAATTAAGTAATAAAGGAATTCAATGGCATTTTATTCCGGCCCGTAGTCCTCACTTTGGCGGATTGTGGGAGGCGTCTGTTAAATCTGTTAAGGCACATTTGCTCAAATCGATTGGTAATGCTCTGTTTAACTATGAAGAATTATATACAATACTTATTCGAGTAGAAGCCATATTAAATTCACGACCTTTGACACCTTTATCCACGGATCCAAGTGACTTATCGGTTTTAACACCTGGTCATTTTTTGATAGGTGACTCGCTATCCGCTTTTCCTGAACGTGACGTAACGAATATTATGGAGAACAGACTAACTCGCTGGAGGCGTGTTGTTCAAATTACGCAAAAAATATGGATTAGATGGAAGAACGAGTATCTCAATCAGTTACAAGAGCGAAAAAAATGGTCACAATCAAATGGTCCTGGTTTGAAGAAAAACACTGTAGTTCTCATGCGTGATGAAAACTTGCCCCCTTTAAAATGGTCAATTGGAAGAATAATGGAAGTTCATAGTGGTTCTGATGGCGTCGTACGAGTGGCTACTATCCGTACAGCAACCGGTGTATATAAACGAGCTGTTCGTCAATTATGTCCATTACCTTTCGAGGGAAATTGTACAGCAAGTTCAAATAATTAAAAATGTTTAAAATGTATGTTTAGTAAATTATGTTAAAATGCTTATGATTTGAAAAAAAAA